AGAGAGAGAGAGAGAGAGAGAGAGAGAGAGAGAGAGAGAGAAACCTGGTTTAAAATCTGAGGTCCTGGATTCGAATCCCAATTGTGGTTGTCCCTCCCCCTGTTTTCTACATGTATTTTTTATTATTTTTACAAAGGGTGGATGGAATGTAACAGTCAGTTGCCATGACGACACACTACATGGAGTACATGTGAAGTGTACATGATATGCATGTAGGCTGTCGACATATAGTACACCTTTCATCTAGCTTTTCCAACAAGATTGGTGCTCTAGTATGGTTTGTTCAAGGAGGTTATACAGTAAAGATCCTAATTGAGCTTGTTCCTTCTTTCCTTTAATCAAACATCTTATATCGCCCTTATGATCTGTCCTGATCCTTCTGTCTTGTAAAACCTCTATCCTAATCTTCGGCACTTATAGTATATATGACCTTATTGTGTTGAAAGTGCAGTAAAACTCTTACTAAAACTAAACAACCAGCAAGTTACCGGTAAACATGGGATAAACTATAGGCCTATAACTGGAAGAGTCCACGAGACCTCGGAAGGCTAATTCTTGTCAGTGTTCGGGACAGGGTCTTCCTTCTTCGGGCTAAAGGGGCGGGCAACAGGTTACACTATTGCATAATTTGGCCTAGAAACAAGAAATCCAACTTCCAACAAAGTCGCAAAACGTGCTCGATCGTAGGCAATGTCGTGACGATGTGCAACAGCCAAAGGTGTACTACCCTTACAACAAAATGGAATCTTCCGCAATACGATTTTTCGATTGGTTCCCTTCTTTACGAGGAGGGAGAGGTCACAATGGCGGTGACAAGAGGCAAGGCCTGCCACATGAACTGAGGAATGAAAAGTAGATATAAATTTTAAGTATTCTTGAGTATTTCTGTCTTTTTAAACAGTAGTTGATCAACAATGGAGGAGGATGATAATCCGTATGAAACGTTGGACCCTTCTTCGTCGATGGCTACGCACATGTTAGCCGGTGCGGCAGCGGGGATTATGGAGCACACGGTCATGTATCCTGTGGATTGTGTAAAGGTAAGCTCTCACTCTCAACGCTCGAGTCCAACCAGATCCACAACCACAAGTGAAATGGCAATAATACTAGATCTAGAATCTAGATCTAGATCTAGGTTTGGGTACTATGAGTGAGCTCATTGCGTGTAATTGTTGTAAAAGCTATAATTAAGTCTTTTTGGTGGCACCTGTAACGTTTCAACAATGTTGGCCACTCAATCCAGTATTCCAGCGTATTCGCAATGCGAAATTGTAGACAAGATAGCCAAGTTCACGCACCACAAGTCAAGTGTCACACAGAAGTCAGAAGTTCTAGATCTAGAATCTAGACTAGATTCTAGATCTACTGCATTTTGCCCAAAGATCCGGTTAATAAAAGAGGTTCAGAGGTCAGACTTGGGATTTAAAGTCTGGTAAATAAAAATGATTTGACTCAACTCCGCCTTCTTCCCAACCTCCTTAGCTCTGTCTTTGCTTCCCAACTTAGAATGCTCCAGTCCAACGAATCTGCTTCTCTCAGTGGTCACCTGTACCCAAGATTAACATGGGGGGGGGGGGTATAGTCTATAGCCGCTGTTGTGTGACGCCCTTGCATATTTTTTTTGGTACCGTCAATTGCCACCGAGTGCAGCGGTGTCAAGTCTCAAAACATCACTATCTTTAGCAATACATAATGTGTGTCTAATGGGACAATTTGTTCTCAACTAATTTCATTGGACGAGCATCTAAAGTACCAACTTGGCGTGTTTTCAATTAGACGTAGGCCTAGATCTAGGCTAGCCTTAGCATACACATTGGTGTAGAACCAACTCAGGCAATTCTAGAAGTAGAAGGTCACAAACGCATACACAAAAACTCAAGCAGAAATTCACGTTATATATCGGGTAACATAAATCGGGGGACGGGGGTCAGGAAAAGAGATACACACACACACACACACACAGAGGGACAGAGAGGCGAATGCACAACACCGAGCACTCGAGCACAATAAGCTAGATCTACCCACCAACGCAAAAGAGCTCCAATTTACTGGGTGGCAATTGACAAAAAGTCAATTTTTGTCAATTGCCACCGCGTCACTCGGTGGCAATTGACACTACCATTTTTTTTACAGGCAGACTATAGGCCTCTAGATTCTAGATCTAGATCTGATCTAGCAATCCAGATCTAGATTCTACATGAATTTTTAGAGGGGTTGAGGGCAGTGGGGGTTGAGAATTTGTACATATAATGCTTTATCCTGTGTGTTTCATCGTGTGAGAAATCATTTTTCATTCAACATAAAGTAAGTGACCGTGACTCAAGATATTGTCCACAGCAGCCACATGTCTAATTATGGTCACTTTTCTCTGTGAATTTGAGTGACTACTGACTGTTATGAAAAGGTTCGACTGTACTTTGTGTCAGATCTTAGAGTGCAAGAGCCATAGGGGGCCATACAAGTAGTCGTAGAGATGTGAAGTTTTTAAAATAAGAATGACTCTATGCATTGTATTTTGTTATAACATGCTCTTATGATTGTCTTTTCTCCTTGTCCTTTCCAGACACGTATGCAGTGTCTCGTTCCAGACCCAAAGGCAGATTACAGAAGTGTGGCAGATGCGTTAAGGAAGATTGTTCGCCATGAAGGAGTACGTAACACTGTCCGTGGCTTCAGTGCTATGGCGATCGGGGCAGGCCCTGCCCATGCTCTGTACTTTGCTTGCTATGAAAAATTCAAGCATGTTCTGAGTGGTGGAAAACAGGGGAACCACTTTGCCCATGGTATGTATTCAATGTGTGACATTTCAACTTATTACAGACCACTGTTCTCTGCTCTTTCCTTTTTTCAAACCAGAATCTCAGGTTTGTTTCAAATCTATAGTCTGTGCTCCATAGTTGGGAGTTTTTGTTGTTGTCATATATAAAATATGATATAATATAATGCACTCGTACACTCAGTCGGGCCCAGATAACACGGACGTGCAAAGCTCGAAATCAACCAGTGGTCATGCAATACGTCTAAATCCGTTACTTTTTAAAGAAAAATGAGACAAGGATGAATCATCAAATTCCACAACGTACTTGGTTTTCATCTTTTTAAAATTTGGACATATCGCAACCTTAGATTACACTATCTGACATTTTTGGCCGTTTTGGTTTACTTAGATCATGAAATCAGAAACCAATACTTTCTGCTATATATTGAATTGTAAGGTTATTCGGAGTTGTTAATACGATATTTAGAATTTCTTTTAAAAAAGCTTGACATGCTTTGATACTCGAAATTTTTTACGTCAAATTTCTCAAAATGAAGTAATGAGCAGATATAACTTTGTAAATCTGAGGAAGCATTACTACAACATTGAATGATTGCTACATTGTGGTTGTCTAATAGTGAAGTGTATCTGCCTTTATGGTTATTTAAAACTAGCTGGGTACCCCGTTTGATGAACAGACTCAAAAGAATTGATCATCAAGTCATTGTGAGATCAGTGCGCACTGCACGTGAACGGAAACCTCACTTGTTTACAATGGCGTCTTAGAAGATGGACTTTCCCAAGATAAAAAAAAGGGAACTAATGAAAAACTGTTAATTAAAACTAGTGACTTCAGACTCCTTAATATAACTGTACACCCTTTAAATGATTCTGAACCACTGTTAATTTTTTCGAATTGGTAAGTTAAGTGGTTTGGAAGTTTTAGACGACCAAAGTGATGAACTTTCACAAATATAATAAAAGACATTCTATGCGGATTTTATTGAAGTACTTTGGTCAGGTCAGAGGCACCAAAAAAAAAAGTAACTTTGCAGTTGCCAAGAACTTGAAAGCTTTTGAAGTCACCAAACTTTTGAGGCCATTTTTTCACCAAAAGCAAGGCAAATGAATCATGGGCTTTATGATTATACCGCAATATCAATAACTTCAAATGCCCAAAGATTGAATGGGCGCTGCCTGATTTCATCGTGTTGTGACACATATTAAATAAAAATAAAATAAATAATTCACCTGTCATGATAAATATTATAGAATGAGTATAAAGGATACACTGTAAAAGTCTGACAACAGCAGATCTTTTCTTTCTTTCTTGTTGTCTGTCCTTTGCAAGATGTAGCCCTCCAAGAATGATCTACATTCTGCTCTATCTGGTGTTCTTATCCAGGCCGTTCCCGTCTGCTTTCTGATGTTTTTATTTTGCTACCATCTTTTCGGTGGGTGGTTGGCTGTGCTCTGGTGTGGTTTGCTTTTTCTTTCCAATCAAACATCTATCGTCCTTATCTCCCCCTCCTTTTTTATGTTTGTTACTCTCATGTAACACCTTTAATCTTCTGCAAGCACCGTAAAACCTGTACTAAGGCGCTCATATGACCTTTTATTCTTTTATGCAGGTCCAAGCTCCGTAAAACCTGTACTAAAACAAACAAACATCTTTTCGGTCTTCCTCCTGACTGTTTCCATTCAGTGCATCTTTTTGTCCATGTTATCCTCCTTTTCCTTGTTACTCTCGAGTAACACGTCTAATCTTTGGCATTTATGTGTCTTATTTCTGTTGAAAATGGCGTGAAAGTGTTATTAAAATTTTCTTAAAACTGCAAGTGTTTGGTGTGGCTGTTTTCCGTTGTCTTGCTCTTTTTACTTTATAATGACACTATGAGTCTATGTAATCATGTCTATGCTGATTTATTTTTGCTTGAGAAAAAAAAAAATTGTATAATATATATAAATGTCATGACTGATCCATGTGTGTTCATTTCCGTGTCCCAGGTTGTGCTGGCTGTGCTGCCACTCTGTTACACGATGCTGTCATGAATCCAGCAGATGGTAGGTATACTGTTTCAAAATAAATTTTCTTGTCCTTTTATTTCATTTGGACTTGTGGGGGTTTCAGCATGCTATTATATGATTTACAAAGAGTCTCTAATTTGTCATTATGTACTTTTAATATGCTTGAGACTAATCTTGTGCGTAATGATGATCAACCAAAATGAAATTATTCTGTTCAGATTTTCATGATCTTGGCTTGGTTAAAGGAGAAGGCATCTTTAGTCTTCAATTTTATGGGACATGATATTATTTTTCTATAGTGATGTCATAGAGAGCGAAAGAAAGAGGAACATATAGTGGAACCCTTTTCCATAGATCCGATGTAGCATATTTTTACTCCCTCTGGTTTCAGCAGTGCAATATTTGTTTTTGATAACTTACCACTCTATGTAAGACCAAGTTCTTAGTTTGCCACATGAAGTTTAAACTTTGATTTCTAATGTGTAATTATTACAAAGTATCATCAGTGGTAATAATTGCTGTCTTTCTTTCACTTGTTTTCACAGTTGTTAAACAGCGTATGCAGATGTATGGCAGTCCCTATCAGTCAACTTTTCTTTGTTTTCGAGATATTCTCCGTACGGAGGGGGCAGTGGCCTTCTACCGGAGTTACACCACTCAATTGTCAATGAACATACCTTTTCAAGCCACGCAGTTCATTATGTACGAGATCATGCAGGACTATTTGAACCATGATCGTAATTACGACCCGTCCTCACATATCGTGGCTGGGGCGGTGGCTGGTGCTGTGGCTGCTGGGATAACAATGCCACTGGATGTGTGTAAGACTTTACTCAACACACAGGAGCACTGTGCAAGGACTCATTTGACATACATCAGTGGCATGGCTTCGGCATTTCGAACCGTCTACGAGTTTTGTGGCATCTCTGGCTTTTTCCGTGGCTTGACTGCTCGAGTCATCTACCAGATGCCGTCCACTGCCATATCATGGTCAGTGTACGAGTTCTTCAAGTACATCATCTCTCAACAGCGGAAACAACCAGATGACAGATACCTCAGTTCAGTGCATATAGCTGCAGCCACTGCCAGGTGATTAACAATTTACAAGAGTATGTAAGTGTAAGTCTTCTCTATCTTTTGGTTTGTGTGTTTATTACGTCTATATGTTCTACTTGTGCCCTAATGACCTAATGCATTGACTTTCCTTTATTTATCTTTTTTATTTTGTCATGTGTTGTTGATTTTTAATTTCAGGCCTATTTGGAAAAAGCAATTTGACTTTATAGCACAGTTGAACTTTGTTAAATAGCCTCATGTCTGCTTATCGTCAACAATTTTCACAACTGCATTGAACACACACATAAAAAACTGTTATACGAAAATGTTTTTTCTATCTCCACCAACACATTGTATGGCCTTCTCTTGTTAGGTTTGTGTGTACCTGTAGTTATTTATTTGCTTTTATTTTTTTTTCGTCTGATTTTATGGGGAGTTGAATATCATTACTTTTATCTATATTTGTCTGTAAATGGAGTTCACACACCCTGCATACATGAAGGTTTTATTTGCATGTCCCAACATCATTCTCATGCCAGTGTTGTAATGACAATCTTTTTTAAAGGTGTCTTGGTAGCTATTGATTGATATATCCGGACAAATTCTTGAGTAGTAGACGGGCTACTTGCAGACCTTAGAATGGATCTTACTTTCGATCAATTTTCTCAAAGATCTAGTATTAGTAGAGTTCAAGGCTTGAAAAAAAAAGTATGACAGTATGAATAACTTTGAAATGTTTCTGGATGATGTTATTCACGTCAAGGGTGGAAAAGTTGAATGAAAATGAGTTCTATCTCTGTCTGTCATCACTTTCTACTTTCTTCTTTGGTAGTATTTCATTGTTTGAGCTGCTGGCCATATGGGTCAATTAATGCTTCCCATTTTAGTCATGTAAACATAACAGTTGAGTGAAGTCTGAATTGTAAAATAATTTTTCTTATTTTACTAATTCTCTCATGTTTCATGTATGTAGGCCAAATTGTCTTTGCTTATTTCCTTGGTTCATGAATGTAGGCCAAAGTACAAGCTGATGGGATTTGACTTTACCCCTTTGGTTGAAGAAGATCTGTACAGGTTCTTTCTAGCTCACAGCTCTTTCCTGGGTTTTTGTTGGGGTTTTTTTTTTTAGGGGTGGTCCCTAGCAAGCTAGCTGCACATCAAAGGTCAATGCTTACACATGTGCACAGAACGTCATGTGCTCTTGTGTACCTTAAATATGTGCTGGGTTTGCGAAATAGGTGCAACTTCTGAAGGTAGTCTGAAGAAATGCAGAGCTTTCACTCTCCTTCCTGTTCTTGGGAGCTGGGGGGGGGGGTTATGTTTTTAAAATTTTTTTAATTCATTGCCTATGTTGTGTTCTGTGCGTTGTGAAAGACTAGGATGTTACTACTGTCGATATTTTTGTGTAATGCTATCTTCTGTTTTGCCTTGACTGATCTCCCCTGTCTCCCAGATATATATATATATATGTGTGAGGCCGCATGGTGGAATCAGGCTCTCATCAATTTTTGGGCATGAAGAGCTAAATTGGTATAATCTTAAAGTTTGTTCATTTGTGTTTATTTGGATGAAAAAAATATCCATTTACAGTCGAACCTGCCCTGACGGCCACTTTCCATTTCCCCCCTTGTGTTTTTTCTATATATAATTTAACTGTAAAAAGGGCACCTGTCCAACGCGGCCGCGGCCACCATATTCTAACACACAACCCCTATCACACTAAGCAATAACACCTGTCTTAGACGGCCACCTTAGTGACTCCATTACGTTTTGTCATAAATTGTGCATTGGCCCCTGGCCTTGTGGGCGAGCCGTCATAATCCAATCACCTGTCGTTGTTGTTAGGTAGTCCCTTCAAACAATCATGTTGCGTAGGCCCCTCCCACTGTTGACCAATAGGTACCAATTTTCAGCTGCTGATGAGGTAAGCGTGTGATCCCTATAACCCATAAGCCCCGCCCAGTAATCATACACAAATCGTAAGTGAGATGAGGGGTCACTGTTTACCCAGTCTGTAACAAAGGACGTCAACATGAACTTGTGACAGAAGCGTCGCTCATTCTCCAAGTGGTGGCGACCCATGTGTTTGTTTCAACATGGCACTCGGTCTTTCTCGTCTGATACATTTCGTTTTATTGTCACCCTTGCGCAAAATCAGCAACAAATTAAAAATTACTAACAAAATACAAACCAACAACAATAAAAAACAACACTGCTTTCGATTGGGACCTCAGATGGGAATTGTTTGTTTTCTTAATCTTGATCAGTCCTGCCTAAGACGGCCACCTCTCTTATACAGCCACTTTTTTCCTTGACAATGGGTGGCCATCTTACACAGGTTTGACTGTATCTTGAATACAAGTCAAGATATTTGCGAAAGAAAGAGGTGGGGGTCACCTGTTTTCAGAGATAAAATTAGTGAGAAAATGGCCGCCAAAGATTAGATATATTTCCTTAGCTTAAGAGTCGGTGGTAACTGAAAATTTACATTTTTTGTGCCTTTAATCAACGTTTTTCAGAAAAATTCACACAGAAATGAGTTTTTTAATGGGCATGAAAGATGTTGAGCCAAAAAACAAAAATCTTATAAAAATTCACAAACCTGCGAAAAAATGCAAGTTTCGTCACTTTGATTATTTTGACGAGAGCCTGATTCCACCACGCTGCCTCACATATTATATTTTCGGATTGGATTTTTTTTTTCTCACTAATTTTTTGATGAGTTGAGTGATGCCACTGCTTCTAGGCGATGTGCTTCTTTTTTGTCCATGTGCCCCTATAGACCTCTATATATGTCCAAAGGCTTATTAGTTGCATGGGTCTTGGTGAGTGCCCGTGGTAGGTCAATTCTTTTCTTGTTCTGTTATTTTTGTGTCTTGGTGCTGTCTTAATTAACATGTTTGGGCAACACTTGAAGCAAGTTTTGTAGATTTTCTTCTTCCTTCTTAACATTTTATCCTTTTGTCCGCAGCTTTTATCTGCTGTGCCCTTAAGTACTCTATGTCTGTATGGATCTGTTTTACTAACTGATCTAAAACTTATCACTATTGCATTTAACAAACTAAATGCGTTGTTGAGAAATGTGTTGTATTTCAAAGTACAGTTCACTTTTGAGGTGGGTCTTGGACTTTCAATTCAGTGTAAGGTCCTAGCATGGTCTCTGAAGATGTTGAATGAACCGAATGCTGCACTTTGGTTTGCTCACTAGTTTATTTTCTGACCCGTCCTCTTCTGTTGATAGAAGTCTTCCCCCATTTTTTTCAATTGATTCTGGAAATTCTAAATGATGCACAGCTTACTTTGCTAGCTGTGTCTGAAGGCCTTCTAGATATTGGTAACACTACACTGACAGGTAAAAATGCATTTTGGTAAAAAAAAATGTATGTTTGTCCACACTGAAGCCTAGTCTGTTTCTATAAAAGTTTCACCAGTCTGTTTGCTTTTTTAGCCCTCTCTGTCCCATGTCTAAACTAATTCAGGTGAGATATTTTGTATGCCCACCTGGAGATTCGTGTGGTTGGCTGGCGGGTGCTAAGGTGTGGTTTGCTCCTTCTTTCCTATCAAACATCTATCGTCCTTAATCTCTCCTCCTTTTTTGTGTTTTTTACTCTCTTGTAACACCTCTAATCTTCGGCACCTATATGACCTTATAATTATTGTGTTGCAAGTGCCGTAAAACTCTTACTAAAACTAATATGGAGATCCGTGGCATTTGAAATCTGCAGTTGCCCTTTTTCCTGTCCCACAATTTGCATTATTTAACACAGCAGACAGTCTGAAGTTTTGTCCTTATTGTCACGTTTATTTTATTTTAAGGTGTCTTTGAATGTCTTGTTTAGGAGGCTCAGTGTTTGAGAGTAAGAATTTGACTCCTTATGGGCGATGTGATGTTGCGTCGCGTGTGGTCCTTGCCGTTCTAAAGTAATTCAAGTTAGATTATAAAGAAACCTTCTCCTTACATGCAACGCGATGTCTAGTCGCATGCGACTGCGGCATGGGTTCGGTCCGTATAGTGATCGAGGATCTTGTCTGGGGGTGTGACAGGTTTAGAGCATCACCATTGGTCAAAATACCCAGCCAAGAAGTGCTGGTCGACACGCCATGTGTAGTAGTGTGATAGGGTGTGTGTATGTAGGATGTTCATCTTCAGTTCAACCCAATGCAAGTTTTGTGAATCTAATTTTATTGTTTTTGTTTGTTTTTTTAAACGGACAGCAGGAGGAGGAGGAGAAGAAGGTGGAGAAGGAGGAGGACTTACATGGGATTGGCCGTGTACGGAATCAAACATGTCAACGGCTCGTAGAACTCCCATCTGACGGTCATTGTACTCCCTTGTCCATCTTGACATTAAAATTTGCCACTCTCTCTTTTCTGTGAATTGCCAGTCTAAACGCTGCGTCGCGCATACAGAGACAGTTTTGTCACACACAGCTTTGAACTGAAAAGTTTTGCGCGATGTGGTAGCGGATAAGGATACGCACCTCGCGACTCATCATGAGCGACTGTTGCATGCGACTGAATGTCGTGTTGCGCATAAGGAGACATAGGCTCAGGGAGAATTGGTTAATTGCTGAATCATCTGGTACTGAGTTACACATTAGCGGAAATTTGACAAGATTTTTTCATTTGACATTAATGATTCCAACTGCCTTTTGAATTTCTTATGTGGCAGGTCCTTCCATGTTGCAATGGTGAACGCATGAAAAGTTTGTTTGTTGATTCAATACAATCTTAGTTTTAGGTGTTGACTTCGTCTTCAAAGTGTTTGTTAATTCTAAAAGTAAGATATTTCTGCAGTGTTGACATACAGTACTTCAGGTCATGTAATTTGTCGTAAAAATATAAAAGCAGGAATGAATGTAGTTGTTGAAAAGTCCAATGTCACATTTAATTCAGGTTCACACACGGTGTTGACAGGAGCTGTGTATTAGATTATTATAATTTATGTTAATATCAGTATTATCAGTAAAACCCTCCCCGAAGGGTTTTGTGCTTCCTTACATTTAAAAAGCAAACATTAAAAGGATTTTTACAAAAATATTGATCAAATTCTGTAGAACATTGCAATGACATGGAGTTTTAGGTGGGGTAAATTACCACAGTTGTCTGACCTTTGTCTGATCAGAATTTAAGGGTTCCTGAATTAATCCTCCGTGCTTCATCTTGTTCAGGTTGAACATGTTTTTGCACTGTCTTGGCTGTCTTTTCCCCATCATGTGTCTTCAGTTTGGTGCAATGGACTGCCTTCAGGCAATAGGGCTCCAGATTGGCAAGTTTCTTGTGTTGATTATGAGTAGTTGAGAGGGTGCCTTCGGAATTTTTTTGGAAGCCATTTGTTTTTTTTATTTTCTCTTGATGGGTCTTATTGATTGTCATCTTTCCAGTTCTTTGTTGCTGATTAGCAGTTATTGCATTGATTTGTCATTCATGAACTCCAATGAATAGCATCAGGTTTATATATTTATATTTTTTAAATGTTTTTTAAAAACTAATACCACTTTTTGATGGGAGAAGTAGCTAGCAATTTTATTCTCAGTTTAGGGACCATGGATAGTGTCTGTAAAGTTCTCTCAGTTGTTCCATCCTACCAATGTCTTCTTGGTCTTTTTCATTTTTTTTGGGGGGGGGGGGGGGGGGGGGGGGAATTTGCCACTTTGATGCTCAGAATTTTGGGGGGTTAGTGGGTGCTTTTGTGCGGTTTGCTCCTTCTTTCCTATCAAACATCTATCGTCCTTTTCTGTCTTCCTTCTTTTTCGTGTTTGTTACTCTTCTTATAACACCTCTAATCTTTGGCTCTTATATGACCTTATTGTGCTGCAAGCGTCGTAAAACTCTTTACCAACATTTTTAAAAACTAAGATGTTCAGAATTCGTCTTGAGATCGTAAAGCAATATCAAGTGCTCACTTTTTGTCATATATATATATAGTTGTACATGTATAGATGATATATTATCACTAAATGCTATTATGGTAGACAAGTTTACTTTTTACTGTTGTGAAATTTCCTGTGATGTGCTCTGCTTTTGCTTTTCTCTCAATGGTGCTTTGCCACATTTATGCATTGTGGTCTTGCATAGAATTTCTTGACATGTGGCAGCCTCCTCAAGTTTGTTCCAGAAGACTGAAAAAATAATGATAATAGTAAGGCGATATCTGTCTGCAGCATTTTGTATACATTTTTTGGTTTTCATTTTTGAGGCCTTTTCTTTTTTTGTGACATCGGTATCGAACCCCCACCTCCTAAATTTAAATTGTGTTCATGTATGGAGAGGGGGGGGGGGGGATGTTTAAAAATTATTTTTTTTAACTCCTTCGAGGGTTGCTATTTTTGCTATTTCTAAAAAAGAAATAGAAATTTGTCCAGAAGTTGCTCGTTTTGCTGTTTCTTCACCATAACTGCCACTTATCTGAAGCAAGACAATCAATTATGACACTAAAAATTTAGCTTGACAAGTGATCATTAGTTCCCTGGGGTTGCCTGCGAAGGATTGTGGCCCTGAAGCTTTTGTATTACTGCTGAGAAAAACATTTTGCTAACATGTCATGGAGGGCTGTCTGTCTGTTGCAAGCTGTTACTGTCAACAGCTGTGGTTGGATTCCTTTCAGGAAATTGGAAACAGACAGGTGGAAATGATGTGGCCAGGGTCGATCTCTCATTCGGAGCTCGTCCAACCCTACAACTATGAACTAACAGACTAATGCAGCATCCACTTTTTAACGAATTTTGTGATATTATTCAGTTCTGCGATATTGATGTTTAGATGATATGTTGCCAACAAAAGTGGCTACATTATATTAAATATAAGGGTGGAGGAAACCTTTGGCTTTTTGGGGGGTTTTAGTTCGGCTTACTTAATGCGTAGATTTTTATTTTTTTTGTGTGGCAGGTTTTGTGTAAGCACTGCCTTACTACTCAATACTTTTGAAGTATCATGTATGCTTCATTATAGCGTTTTTCTTGCTCTCGCTATGTGATTTACTAATCCAGTATGTAATGGATTGGTTGTTTTTTCCTCCGTTTGCTCTCTTAATGAAGGATCTTAACTGATCAGACAACATTCTCTCATGATGGTTCTTTTGGGCTGTTCCTGTCTCTACTTAGGAGTATATAGAGCAGAAAAGAAAAATTATTATATAAAAATGAATTATATATTATGGCAAGCCGAAGAACATCATTGATTCCTTGAGTTATCTTGGTATGAAATATTGTTGGAAAGCAGAAGTACTTGTACACTCATCAGTGAAGGCAATATGTTCACAATGGTTTGGTTTTGTCTTTGTTATTTGCTAAATTGGTTTGGGGGGGGGGCACTTTTTTAATGCATGTGTTCCTTATTCGTTCTGTTTTTGCCCTGGGAATCTTTGGAAGTGGATTGGTAGCATTTCATTTTCATTTTATCCCAAGATGCTATCTTTACATGCGATAAAAGTAAAAGGGATGGTGTGGGTTGGGAGACGTATTTTTCCCTGAAGACTTTCTGATTGTAGAGTATTCTGTGTTCTTCAGAAATATTCTGTGTGTGTTCCTGAACTCTGTTTTGTAATAAAGTATTCTGTGTTTGTGTGTGGTTGGCGGGTGCTCTGGTGTGGTTTGCTTCCTCTTTCCTATCAAACGTCTATCGTTTTTATCTCCCCTCCTTTTTTGTGTTTGTTACTCTCTTGTAACACCTTTAATCTTCGGCACTTATATGACCTTATTGTGTTGCAAGTGCCGTAAAACACTTACTAAAACTAAATTTTTTATGTTTGTTACTCTCTTGTAACAGCTCTAATCTTCTGGGGCTCATATGACCTTATGCAGTTGCGAGCGCTGAAAAACCTCTACTAATTTACTAAAGCAAAACAAAAAACATCTATCGTCCTTACCTCTGCGTGTTTGTTACTTGTCACATCTCTAATCTTCTGCACTTATATGACCTTATTATTATTAAAACTAATCAAAAGTAATTTGTGTATGTTCCTCCGCTGTGTTTTGTAGTAAAGTACTCTGTGTATGTTCCACAGCCCTGCAGACAGATAACAAGAGAGCAGGGGTTCCACATCACAGCCACCCCTGCACAGCTCAAGTCCCCTGTCCCTTCTGGAGTCAGCTTCAATGAGTGATAGTCTTACTACTACTGTTGGAACGTTTTGCTGTGATGTTTGACTTGCGTGCTTCTTCCTGTGATGAGAAAAAAACAACTTGCAAAACCCAAATTTTTTCACCTGGTTAAAATTTTCTTTGATTTAAGTGAAGAATACCTCTCCCCTTTGTGCACATGTATTAAGAGTTCTCTTTGCTGTTCTTTCTTTGATGGCAAGAGATGTCATCCATATGTGTGCGTGTGAGGGAGGGAGTATTGTTGACTATTTGCTGCTATTCTTTAGATGAAACAATCAGCGCCATTTTGTCACTGTCACGAGAAAATTGAGTAATTCTGTTTGGTCCTGGTATACAAGGTGCCGAGTTAGTAAAATAATTGAAGTCGCTCAGTTTTCTTGCGACAGCGATGATATATATGCTTCAAACCTGTCATGTGAAAACAGTCATCAAATTCCTAGTGAAAAACAGTTTAAGGAATTCATACCCTAGTTGAAGGAATTCGTACCATAATACCATAATACACTGAAACCACAATATACATATATATGAGTTTTAAGAACAGAAAACTATAGATTTCCAAGTGGTTGATCAGTTTTATGTAGGTCTGTCGCATTGTTCTATAGTTTAGGAAATGAGACAACAAAAATTTTAATATTTTACTGTTGTTTAGATATTTGACCTTTTGTTTCAGTTTCTGTTTGGTGAGAAACTTCATGAAAATGCCATGTTAGTATTGTTAGTACAAAACTGATGAGCATGATATTGAAATTCTGAAGTCCTAAAAAAATCACAATTCATGTGCAGTCCATTATTTAACCGTAAGTATGTTTTTTAAAATAAAAATGTACTTTCGGTATTTAGGATTTTGTTTATATCAAAATACTTGAAAAATATCTCCCCTAAGTCTAGTGGTTGCATTGCGTAATATTTTTATTCTTGGTCTTCAGCTGCATTAGTGTATCAAAGATATACATATATAGTAGAGTCTACTTATGAGGATCTTGCATAACGTCAGTGCTGTTTTATGACTTAAAAACTGCAAGTATCCTGATTCCTTTCGATATAATGAAAACAATTCTTACAATGAAACCTCAGCATAACGTACACGTCTAAAAAACACAGCATTGGCTGTAAATTCTTTCTGAAGCCCGAAGTCCCTTTTAGTATTTTTGCTTTTTTAGGATAATACATACCTTGGCTAAGATGTAAAAAAAATTACGTCCAAAGGGATTACATTATACCAAAGTTTTCTACTGTATTTTGGTTATACAGTTGGTAAAGATATTTGACAGACGTTGTCAGCATCTATAAATGATACTTTTGTGTGCCTGATTCCTGTAATGGGACTCTGCTGTATAATGTTAGGAGAATTGAAAAAGACCATTGTCATTTGGACTCCTGCTACCATCAAGGAGTAACTCTACCTTGTCAGATGCAGAACATCTACAAGCTCTTTGTCCATAGTTTGCCAGCACTCTGTTCTCTCGCTCTCTTTTCTCTGCTTATGTGGCCTATGTCTTGTGGTTATAGAGATTCATTTTACCTTTGGGTCACTTTTCAGTCTTCCCAATTCAAATTTTGTCTGTGCTCATTTTTCTCACAATTGCCTTGCTTTCAGCACTTTGCTTCCTTCTCTCTTTTCCCATAACCGTAAATGTGGACGTCATGAGTCACCAAGAAGCAAAGTGATAAAATTTGTGTCTGTCTCTGTTAATGTGTGCCACAGAAGCAGGTGAGGGGTGAGTTGCTGAGGCTGGCTTTTCCTCTTGTCAGGTGAAGAACGCCTACAAGACTATTGTAATTATATGGTTTTGATATGGTCGTGGTAGCTGGTTGGTTCATCCACTAAACAGATTTACTTGTTAAAGCGTAGAGATGATTATTATTTTTGTGGTGGTATTTGCTCTTTGCAAATCAAATATTATATTGTACTTCACTAATTTCAGATATTATATGGGAATTCCCTTACAACACTTGTCAAGTTTAGAAGACTTACAAGTTCTTGTACAAAAGTGTTTTTGATCTAGTGCTTAGATTTACTTGTGAGGCCTTTGGATTGTTTCCATTTCATGTTTTGCACTCTGAATTTTGAGTGATATTTTATTTTTTTAATGCAGTTTGAACAACTTGTCAGACCGAGAAGGTTTACAAGTTCTCTGTACATGTATTTCCAATTGCTTCTGACTTTTTGCTCTCATTGCTTTAAACTTGTACTAAAATTAAAAGTAAACTCTTCCTAATGTAAGCAGATAATACACAGGTCAATGGTAGATTACACTCAATTTGCAAGCTAACACTCCAGATATTTGCTGGATCTCAATGAAGCACAGCTGGATCTGGCCTGGCATACATGCCTCCCAGTTGATTTGGCAGTCATAAAAATGTCATAGCTTGTTGCATGTGAATGTGGAGGTAGAAGTTGCTGACACAAGTTTTTGTTTGAGTGAATGAAGACTGGCTGATGTAAAACTGGGTGTGTGTGTGTGTGTAAGCTTTAGCATGATGGATATATGTGTGAATGTTCCGTTTTGAGCCTTTGCAATTTGTTATAGGCTAGTTTGTAACTGTGTGCACGCATCACTCCTTTTCCAGATATTTGACAGTTTCATGTCAAATTGAGGACGTTTACAGGGAATCTCAAGCCTGTGTGATATTTTCGTTTTAACGGTACCCGGTAGTGACTCCAACGAGATGGCTGGCATTTGTACTTGAAGAGTCCGCTCAGTCACAGTTGTGTGCAGCCACGAGCTGGGAGAGTTTTTGTTTTAAACTATTTACACTTTGTTATTTATGAAGTGGGGTTTCTTTTTCACAAATGGATAGACACAGTTTACAAGGATTGCCCATGACTCAGTTAACACTTGAAAAGTTTATGAGATTAATATTTGTCGGTACTGAAGCACAAGTATTAGGGAGGAATTTATTTTGCTTTGGAGTTCTCAGTCCAACTGTTTTCAGCAATCTTTTGTTTACCAAGGGCTGCTTAAGTGTGTGCTGAGACTTATTATGTACAGAAACATGTGCGTGAATTGCGGGTGTGAATGATTGTTCCTGATATTTTTTTGATCAGCGGTTTTGTTGACTCCTTCGGGCTTTCATGATGACGTTGGAATTAAATCAAATGAAAGATGAGCTTAGTTGTAAGTCAACGGTCTGATGAAGGTTGTTCATATTTTTCTTACTCCACACGGATCATTTTTGTTTGTTGGGGGGAGAGAAAAAAGTCATAGTGATAAGTGCATTTTTATTGAACTATGATGGCAGAGGTAGGTTGTATTTTGTAGCTGTGGTATATTTATTACCATGTGACACAGTAGATATGAAGCTTTCCCTGAAACTGAGGTATACATCATCCAAAATGTTAAAGGTCGGGTTGATGTAAAACTTTGCTTTTACTAAATTCTGTTTCAGGAGCAAAACGAGACTGATTTTGGTCAATGGAAACAATGAAATGTTAGAAATAAAACATTTCAATTTCTACTTGTCTCTTGGACTCTGCCTCAATTTAAGTGGCATGGAATCAGATAGCAACCTTTTTGTCATTCAGACAAGTTGTCATCTCGTTGAATGAAACAAGACTGAAATGAAACTCGAACAAGAAGGATGACTTCCTTTATCATACCTGGCTTACTTTATCAGAGTGGTTGTTCAAATCATTTGGCGGGATAAATTTGTGTGAATAGGAGTATTGAGATAAGCCACTCCTGTCTAGGTTCTGTAATGTGTTGGTCATATGACTTGTTTGCTTGTGCCCCCAAGTAGCAATAGAGCACACTTGTGCCAGCGACATTGGTATGTGTTAAAAGATCGAAAAAAGTGTTCTCATTTTTTTTTTTGTGTTGTATGTTAACTATTTAAGTGATTTACGGGAAATTTTCTCTGTATGCACATGAATTAGAGTAAGAAACACTTCAAGGGTGGATGTCTTAATCATAAAACGGGTAGAAATGTGTCTGTTAATGGAAAGTGTGGCCTCTGAGAAACGATATTATTTACTCCAATTTTGTTTGTTTTCTTCAGTAGAAGCCAAAAGCTGTCCACTTAGACAATTTACTCTTGCGTTGGGATTGCTAATGTTTATTCATTAGTATTAGTGTCATGTAGTAGTACACCGTATTTTGTCAAATTTGATGAAGTGTTCAACTGTACTCCCCAAAGCTATGATAGAGTTGTTCCAAGTAGCCACATTTTGAAAGTAAATGTGAAGACATAATTCTCATTTGTAAGACTCTACACAGAAGGAAGTAGTAATTCCATGATTTGCCCCTTGTCTCCCTCAAGTCATGCTGTCCAGGACACTTTGAAAGGGAATATTTGAACAGCATACATTCTCAGCCCACTCCTCCCCGTTCCTTCTTCGCCTTCTATCAAGGCCATACTGTATAACGTACATACCTTTTAAGTTACTTAAAATGTTAGGGTTTTTTTGTTTTTTCTCCTCTATTTTTCCCTCCCTTGCCGGTGTTTCATGATATGAAGAGCCAAGCTCCCTCACTAAAGCAGATTTCTGCCTCCTGTGCAAAATGTTGTTCTCGTACACTTTGTGGTAAAGTTCTGTCGATTTTTGTTGGGCAAATGTCCACTTTAAGTTTAAGCAATAGTTTTACACTTGGTAGCCAGTGTATTGTTTTTGTCAAGTTTTAAGTACCCTGATTATCCGATATTTTGCCTTTCGTTTGATACTTAGGTCAGAGGGGTCTTTTGATTCATCTTTGCTTGGGCATATTGGGTGTACTTACGTGAGTGCATGAGTGTGTACACAAGTGACGAAGGGAGTGTGTGAATGAAAAGCATATTATATGTGTGCACATAAGTCATGGTTACAAAGTGGAGAAAAGCTTAAGATCCTTTTTGTCCAGCCTTTCAGTTTAAGGTCAATATGTGTCACAACGCTGTGGAATCAGACACTCGTCAATTTTTTGGGCATGCAGAGTTATTGCTATCATCTAAAAGCTTATTCATTTGTCTTGTTTTCAATGAAAAAAAATACCCTTCTGTCTTGAATAGAAGTTGAGATATTTGCTGTTGGAGGAGGTGGGGTCACCTGGTTTCAGCGGTAAAATAAGTGAGAGAAGGGCCAACGAAGTTTGGTAACTTCAATGAGAGTCCTTGAAAACTGAAAAATTACATATTTTGTACCTTTAATCAACGTTGTACAGTCAAATACACATGGAAATGTGTTATTATGTGGACTTAAAAGGTGTTGAGCCAAAAAACTAAATTTTGATAAAGATTTTCAATCTGGCGAAAAATTATTGTTTCTTTGTTTTTATTAGTTTGACGAGCGCCTAATTTCACCACGATGCCTCACATATTTTGTGTCCTCAGACTTGCCGACCGATACTAACAAGAGAGTACAGTATACTAAAAAATGCAATAAATGGTAATTCTTTATGCAGTTATGTGGATCCTTTTTAAATGAGTACATTTAGAGCTTAATTCGTCATGTTTGTATGACTTCAAGGCCCCAGTACTGACTGGCCGGCTTTTCCTGTATTGTGAGACTCCGGCCCCGTCAGCTTCTCTCTGTTACGCAGCTTGCTGCACATCAATAAAGTTTATTTCTTTTATACTTCAGCCTTTTTGTGTCTCCCTTTTCCATTTTTGTCGTTTTTGTAGTTAAACCTGTGGACCTTTACTGATGTTGTCACTGGTTCCTTTGGAGTAATAGGACGTGGGTGGTTGGTGGGTGAGTGGGTGTTCTGGTTTGGTTTGTTTCCTCTCTCCTATCAAATATCTTTCGTCCTTATCTTTCCTTCTTCTTTTAATTGTTTGTTACTATCTTGTAACACCTCCAATCTTCGGGATATTTATATTATCTTATTGTGTTGCAAGTGCTGTAAAACTCTTACTTAAAAAGTACATGACATGATGTACAGTTATTGGACTTCCACCATTCTTTTAAAATTTTGACTCCTAAGTGGGAAAGATTTCTTCTTTCTTTTTTTTGTTGTTGGTAAGGTCTTACGGCGCTGGCAATTCTGCTCAAGGACATATGAGCGCCGAGAGGTGGGTGTCAATGGAGAAGTCCAAACAGGGAATCGGGCTTACTCTGCTCACCTCTCTAGCCTCAACAGCACAAAGTCTGCTTCGACTATCAAGGCATATAAGGCTCCCCCGGAAATAACAAATCACAAGAGAGTGACAAACATGACATACAAAATAAGTAGAGGAAAATGACGATAGTAAGGATGAGGAAAGAAAAAGCAGCAGTTCCCCCTTTGTTGTTTCGGCACAGTATGAGCATGACATTGATAAATCAGCCCATTTAAAATTCTACTGTGTGTAAGAACATGTTAATATCCCCCCTTTGGGAATGGCATAAAGACAACTTCAGTCAGTAGCAGTAGCACTGCCCGGGGGGGGGGGCTTCAGAATCTGTGTGTTTCGCGATGGGATTTAACCATTACTGCCGTGGTTTCTCCAAGCAGACAGGGTCGAAGTGGCCTGCCCTAAAAATTGTCTTCATAACGTAGGCTCGTAAAGTATTTACAATGGCTGGGATAGCGCTGTGTTGTTATGTCCAATGTTCTAAAGAACAGAGGTGTTGTTTATACGTGTTCAGTCACACGGACGGCACGAATAAAAAAAGGGGGGGGGGTGGAATGCTGGTGGTTGAAATAAATAAATGGCCTTTCATTTAGGAAAGAACTCTGTTGTAGTGAAGCCAGCTCTCAGTTCGCCGTTGGATGCTTGCACTGAGCATTGGGTAGAACACTGTACACATTTTGTACACAAAAAGTCACACTGAACACCAAAGAATAGAATAAGAAAAGGACAGAATGTGTTAGTTTTCGGGATGGTTACAAGTACAAGCCCCCACCGTTCAGCATAAAATCGAAAGGAACGTATCTCTTCAAACTTGGTTGCCCAGAGCGGTACCATAGAATCCACTTCAACCAACCCCCCCCCCCCCCCCCCCCCCCCCCCCCCCCCCCCCCCGGTAGATTAAGCTAAACAATAATGGGGGGGAATGAGTTTCACACGACAAAATACATAGCCAACAATTCTCCTTTCTCCCTTCCTGCTCTGATCTATCGGTGAAGGAGCAGAAAAACACAAACCGTAATTTACGAAAAGTACTACATTTACAGGGTCAAATATAATTATTAGTTTTTCTAAACTCATAAGCTATATATGCATCTACAAAAAAATGCAGCTAGATCTAGTAGTAGTAATACTAATAGTTGTAATAGTAGTAGCAGCAGCAGCAGCAGTGAAAAGAGAAAACAAAGATAAGAACCTCCTTAGTTCCATAGTCACCAGTATGGGCGAAAACTATTTCTGATTAATTCACTTCTACATCCGTTGGGGTATTGCAAGTGTATTACTTTTAGTTAAAATCTCAGACGGCAGTTGTGACCACGTGACTCTCGTCCAAAATAGACGAGTCAGCAAACGTAACTGAAGCGTTGACGTCATTGCTATCGTTACTGTTTTACAGTTTTCGACCAGCTCATTTCAAGAAACCTGATTGCCAGGTAATCTGTTCTCTTTCTCTTTTTTATCAAAAGGAGAATGAAAACAACAACAACTACGTGTGTTTACATCACTGTCACGAGTGTCTTACCTTCCCAGTTCAGTGTACATTTTGATGCGGAAAGGACAGACAGTTGTATAGTATAAAAAATGTATACAGATTTTTGACAGAGATAGATCTATCCTATACCATATGTATTTTGTATTATATTCCAAAAGGTCGATTTTTTCTGAATGCGTTATTCTAGTTAAACAAACAAAGCCATCCATTTTAGTTTTTGCACAAAAAGATACATGTATGTAGATATCTACCATTTCATTCTGCCTTTAGACAATGGTGAAATGTTAGAGGGAATGGAAACAAACTATTAGCTCACGTTTCCAAAGCCTCTTTTGAGTGTTCTTTGCAAAGGAAGCCTAGAGAATGTGCGGAGATACAAATCCAAAGTACAGGACAACAGGTAACCCCATTTCATGCTCCAACTGCTGATCCAATTACAATACATGTACTTGGATTGTGACAAAAATTCTTCGTAAAGGGGGTAAATAGTGGGTGGTTGGCGGGTGCTCTGGTGTGGTTTGCTCCTTCTTTCCTGCCTAACATCTATCGTCCTGATCTCATCTCCTTCTTTTTTGTGTTTGTTACTCTCTTGTAACGCCTCTAATCTTCGGCACTTATATGACCTTATTGTGTTGCAAGTGCGTTAAACTCTTACTAAAACTAAAGGAGATGTTTGTTCTTACGCATTCGCGTGTGCGTGGAGGAAAATGCACACCCACACACATACTCACACATTCACACTCACACACACAAACAAACATACACACACACAAACACAC